CCAGTGAAACTACTTTAACTCCTGGATGTTCAACATCCAAAGCTAAAAAATAATACACTTATTACACATACCATTATCCCTAAAGGAGGCAAAAGAATAACTGAACATCTGATACAGAGAGCAGGAGCGAGGAGAGGAAGAAAGAAGAGTTGGAAAAGAGTTAAGGGAGGGAGAGAGAGAAGCCAAAACGATGCTAAGCTAGCGGTAGCCTAGGCTAACTATTCCTTACTACCAGAAATAAAACCGTGTGAAACTGACAAGTGCTCAGTAGAGAAGTGCAGCAGAAGGCGCTTTGTTTTAAGTCACAGGAACCTTCCAAGGATTTACTGGATTTCGATGCTGGGATGTTTTTTTGTTTTTTTTAACATCTTTACCCTGATTCGAACTATACATTTTATCAGCACTTCCTTAATCTTGATGATGCTGGTTGGCCTTCACAGAACTTGTGGATTTCTACTGAGATCAAATAGATTGCATTAAAGGAAGTCAACTTTAAACTAATTTGTGTTTATCTAACATAGTTTGTGGTTGGGAACCAACAAAATGTAGAAAAGGTCCAAAATTATGGACAATTTTGTAAGACAGAGTAGTATTTTTTTTTTGTTTGTTTGTGACAATTATCTAGTAGAGGGGAGTAAAATTAATATTTTCAGGTTGATGAAATAAAAAAAACATCACTGGAGCTTTAAATCCATAATGTAATTCATGTTGACAGCACTTGTGAGTTTGAGAAGATGGTGAGGCATGAGGAAGGCGTGTCCCAGTGGTGGAGAGGGAGACGGAGACGCACATTTCTAAAATTCCTCTGCGGAGTGAGGAGGATATTTATCACTGTTGTATCAAGCTCGAAGGCTGCCGCATCAACCAAGCACGCGCTGTCATCCTCTAAGAAAATCACAGCCAACTTGTCCTTTCTCTGGCCCCAAAACTGCACCATAACTTTGACCTGTACTTGAATAAGTCATGTACTCTACATTTTTTCAGCAGATAGATGTTTAAGGCTATACCATTTCACATAGATCTATCTCAAATATGAAATCTGGCTTAGTTTAATGCTGCACATTTCTGCTGCCTTACTTCTCTTTGAGACGTTGCAAAAATAAAACACTTGGTGTGACAGTCAAGGTCATAGTTACCTTTTGCATAAGCAACAACTTTGCAGGTTGGACCAGTAAAAACAGAGAGCTGAGCATGAGAAACCGTCTAGACAAAGGCCCAAAGGGGCCGAAACATTAATTAGATAGAGTGATTATGACCCTAAGAGCAGCAGCCAGAAATGCACCTGTTCCAAAGCTAGAATGGTTCAAAGGCACTTTTTTAGGTTATATAACTAGAAATGGATCATGCAAAATTCATGACTTCAGTGGGCTGTTAAGTCAGAAACGTAGATGTTTCATGAGTTCAAACAAATTTACTCTACCCAACATCTGCACTGCCTTGGCTGGCAATCACACTTATATTACAGAACAAACATCAGAACAATGCAGTCTTTATGATCAACAAGCTCCAGCATGTTGTTGGCAAAGTGTCAGTCTGCATCACCTGTTTAAGCTGGAACAGTTGTTTCGTTACAATACGATATGTGACTTCATGCCAAAATTCGAGTGAAAAACAGTATGATGACTGCGATAACAAACAAAAAAACCCATCATAGGGATCCTCTGATCAGGGCTCAACAATGTTAATATCATGAAGGCACACCAGCGAAACAGGAGTCGCATTAGAAAGGTAGATGTATGAGCAGATGAAGCAGAGATAAAAATCTGCAGAGACGTTAAGCCGTTTGTGTTTTCTGAGGCCACATTTACAGCCATGTTAGTTTACCTTCCTGTAGAGCTTTCAGGAGAAGCAACTAAATTTGACCTGCTGACCTTCTGAACATAAAAATGTCAGTAAAACCCAGCAGGTTATAGGAAGCATGTATGAGGCAGGTGGTGAAACATTAGCAGGTGTCTTCCAACTAGTCTGCTATTGACAAAAAGGCAGCAGATAAACTAAAGAATCTGAAATTTAGTTTTTTGGCAGCCTAATCCCTCTTCGCTGTTATCTGTCAAATATTTAGTTGGAAATACTCCCTAACCATCATGTTTCCCCTCATGGTGAGGAAGTCAGCTCTTTAATTTGGAGCAGTTGAAACAATCCCTCAATAATTGGACTGACTGTTTAGTCAGCAGCTGTTTTCAGAGATGGTTTTTGCATCAAGTTAAAACTACTTAGAGTCTGGTGCTTCTTTCTGTGCAACTACAGTATCCACTCATCTGTTTTCTAATCCCAAATAATCCCTGCAGGTTTAAGTGTGGGGGCTCTCTTTTAAAAGAGGAAAGGGTAATTAGCTGGAAATATTTCTTTCAAAATAATTAGAAAAATAATGCTTTAATTTAAGACTTTAGTTCAGTTATGTAACAGATCCCAAAATACAGTTAACAGCAACTAAATTCTGTATAAAATTAAAAAGCTAGCTGCACAGATGTCGATAAAACACTAATTAATCAGATATCTAAACATTAATAATTCCTAAAAAAAAAAAAAAATTATCAGATCCTGATTATAAGTGGTGATGAACAACATGATTTTTATTATTGTTTCAACGAGTTTATGTCTTTTATTTTCCACCACTAATTAGGGAATTGTTAGTAAACATCACCTATGTTTACAGATATTCAGTTAAATAAAGAAAAATAATTTTAAAAACAAATTGCAATATGATTTTTTATTGCATAATAAATAAGTTATCAAAGATTATTATAGCTCATTGCAAGTTATATATAACTAATATTTTTTATACTTCCTTATCAAAGGTGAAGTGGTTTAAATGTTCCTTTTTTTGGCTGTATTAATTTAAAAATACTTATTTTTCAGATAAAGGAAACAACAACAAAACATTAATCTCAACATTTCTAATTTTGCAATATACTTAAAAAGGTGGAATAACAAAATCTGTGTTTTTTTTAAGATTATTTGACCAGCAGTGAGCAGTTGATCTCTTTCAAATGATGCATATTATAACACCTTAATAAACAAGTGTGCATATATCTTTATATATATCCTGCCTTGGTGTTAATCAGAGCACCTTCAGCTGCATGCTGGCGTTTTATTACTGCAGGGACTGCAGAGCAGCCGAACCATTACTCAGCAAAAACAGACGCACATGGAGCGCTGCGCAACATTAGAGCAGGAGGCTGGATGGGATGTTTGCAAACATGAACCCTGCTGTTTTGTGTCTATGTGCCTGGAGATGGGGAGGGCTGAAAATAAACTGTACCTTTCCCTCCTGGATCAGCTTCACCTCTGCGCTCAGCTCCCCGCCGGAGGCTGAAGCTGAAGCTGCCGCATCCTCCTGGATCTTCCCGTCCCGCTGCGATGAGCCCTGTGCTCCCATGGCGATCTGTAGGCGAAATGTGAACTTCCCTCGTCTTTGATCAGACTAACTAACGAAAACAGCAGAGAGGGAGAGATAAAGAGAGAGAGAGAGAAAAACAACTATTGCACCACAGTATCTAAAGCGTCCAAATGAGAGGTGTAGCTCCTCCCCAGCTCGGCCTGGATCAGGAGTGATGAAGTGTGAGGAGGACCACCAAACTCTGATTTTTATTTTTTTATTTTTTAGACCTCCTGCTGGTCACTGCCCATGTGGTCCACTCCTATCAGGAAAGCTGCTGATCAATGGGTTAAAAAAAAACACAAAGGAGAGTTAATGAAATAAATAATGCACAGCTGGGGGAGTCTTGTGCTGAAATTAGAAACTGGAAATGAAATTAGAACCCACCTGGGAAATGAGTTCTGCAAGTACATGCAAACACCTTGGAGGACAACTTGAATAAATAGACTTCTGCAAAAAGGTGGTACATGTAACCCTTTATAGGGCAAGTTACCATTTCTGATCACTTGCATACCGCTTACAAATGCAGTCCCCTCCGTCCCCCAGGGACGTCTAGAAGCACAAGATCTATATCCAGCCATTCAGCAAAGATACAGTGCTTTTCATCTTATTTTAGGATTTGACCAATGAGATGAGCCCTTGAAAGTCAAGAAAAAAAAAAGTAAAAAGCTAATTGAAAAGTAAAAAAGTTAATAAACCTGGTTAACAGTTATATTTAGGTTTATAAACCGGAAAAATGTAAGTGCCAGTATCAGCATTAATGCCCCTAAGGTTATGGTGTACCAAAAAAACAAACAAAAGTGTTTCTATCAAACTTAGATTGTTTTTCATGAATCTTATAGAAGCACTTCTTTTTTTTTAAATATTTTTCTTAATATAGTCAGGGAAGTTGATGTTTCTTGTTTTTACATTGACATTAATTTTGCCATCTAAATATTACAAAGGTAATAAGGTCTTGTTCTGGATTCCAATAACACTATTGGCTTGAAATGTGGATTTTCAAAGGATTTCACCGAGTGCCCTATAAAGGGATAAAACTTTATGAATAAAGTATATTGTACAGGGTATTTTATCAGGGGTCATTGCTTTGGAGCAAGACAAAGAGCATAATTATGTTAATTTTTACAAATTAAACTCTACACAGTTTGGCTTGCACTAATTCAGCACCTTTTACTTCGATGCTGCTAAATATGAACCATCTAATGAAACAAACTGACCCCAGAAGTCCCCTGATTTTGAGTCTTATGTGTAGTTCTGATCAGAAAAAATGCAGTTCTCGAAGGGCTCAGAGGTTTGTTACAAAGAATAAATCAACAAACAGCATCAGCAGACCAAGCAAGTACAATATAATAGGTTAGGAATCAGGTTGTGGAGCAGATTTAATGAGCAATCTGGATAAGATCACTTTGTTTAAGTGGTGGTAACAGAACAATAAGTGACAATACTCCATCATTAGGAACGCACTAACATAGCACTGTATGGGGCGAAAGATTTCCCACGGTTATATATAATGTTCAGCCTCTGTCCAATGAAAATACGGGGTAACGTTTGTGTTTCAAACATGGGTTAAACCCACTAACGATCAGCATTTTCCTCCCTTCCCTTCCAATTGGCAAAAAAAGCTTAGTCTAACCCCCCACGGGAAATCTGCATGGCTTCTTTTCCCCAACAATTAATGGGTTCAAATTAAAGTTACTTTCTTACATTCATGTAAACTAAAAGTTAGAAAAATAAAAATATGAATAAGAGACTGTAGAGTAATCTAAATGTTACAACGTAAATAAAAATACTGTACAGTTATTAAAATAGTTCAGATTAAAGAAAAAATCCAACAGAATTGGGGAGAGGGGTTGCTAAAGAAATTCATAAATCGTGCACAGATATTAATGTATAGAAAACACAAACAGGCTACTTACAAGAATATGAAAATAACAGCAGGGGTGTGAACACTTGGTTATGAAATCCAACAGCAGCTGCAAGGAAAGATCTGTGATAACACTATTTTGTGCACCTAAGGTGCAGTAACAGTCCCTAAAAGAGCTCTATCTCTATCCTTTTGTTTCCCTATCGCCTGCCTTGGTTCTAGAGGTCTCCCTGAGCAGAACTGCAACAATCTACATCACTGCTGTATATATAGCATGACTGCATCTAAAAATTGCATTAAAGGAAGCAAATAAGTTAAAGGTTACCCTCTGATACACTTAATCTGGTTTATTTAGGAAATAGTTACTGCATGAGTGGCTCTGATTTCTTAAAATGACTTTAATATGTTTATCTAAAGTGACATCTTAAGGGTTTACCAATGCGATCTCAACCTTGTGAAAGGTTTTCTGGTAGGAATGAGACTCTTTACGCACATTTATTAGCCTCTAGAGTGAATTGTTTATTTTCATGAACACCTTTTTGGAATTTTGCACAAACCAGTCCAACTATCCACTAAATCTCTCATTAAAATAGAGAAATATGGCAGATGATTTGTATCACTCTTTAGATATCCTAGTTTTAGTTCAAGAAACTTAAACGAGACTCACTAGGGTGGACATTTGCACTTATATTGATTATTTAAAAGGATAAAATGATATTACATACTAAGGATGGTTTTAATAAGGAAACATTTTCTGCCATCAGATGTTTAAAAGAATGGAAGATGCATAGGATAACACAATTTAGACCAGGCAGCAAAGATCAAATGCACGGGAGAGCCACGGGAAGCTTGTTAGAGTACATAGAATAAAGGACTCTCTGAAAGATGTTTAAAAAAAAAAAAAAAAAAAAAGGCTTGCATTTCTGAAATTGCTTTATAATGTGCCTTAAATACAGAGTGGATTATAGTGAGATCCAGCTGCTGTGTTGAAAAATTACATATTTTTAAGATCTGTTTCCCTCTCTTTAGGGAAAAAAATGAAAATAAAAAGATAAATGTGTCAGACCCTCAGTGGGGATGCTGATATTTTATGGACGAAGAAGACACAAGGCGTTTCTCATTAAACCCCTTCTGGATGTGTCATGGTTTACGCTCAATAAAGTGATAAGGCAAGGGGAGCACGAAAGCCTCAAAGCTCACCTACCCCCACAAATCAACACGTTCACGAGTAAACTGCATTTCCCCCCCCACCCTCTATGCAGGAAAGGAGTCTTCAATCCAAAGAGGGGAAATACAGTGGAAAGAATAAGACCTCAGAAATGTATTCTAAAACTGAAAAATAAAAATAAAGAATTATGACTGAATTAGTCAGAGTTAAGCTCTCAATGATGCAGAACGATTTGTGTTTTGTGACCAGGCCTTAGTGATTTGAAGAATGAGGCCCCGAGGTTTAGTGCTTGCATCGAGCACCAGGAGATGACTGGTCCAGGAACAGCAGGGTCCGACACGAAACCAGACGCCTATTTGCATGCCGTCCACTGGATTAGAGGTGTCATGATGGAAGACAGATGTTAGCCAACAGAAGCTCTCTTATATTGGATATAATAGACTAAGGTAACATCTATTTTAGCTGTTTAAGTATTTCCCAAATATGTTGGTTCAAAGAATCCTTAAAGTTTAATGTAACTTTCATGAAATCCTTAGTTACTTATATTTATGTCACACAACACTTAATCTAAACCAGTTCAGTTTTTGCCATCCGGAGACCTGTCCTTGGTACTGAAATTGGTCCGTTGAGCAAAATATTGCCAACAAATTATTAGGAATGATCACAAACACTTCTGGGTTGATCAGAAATGAGGAAACAAACCTCTCCAAAAAAACAACTTTAAATCTGTCATCGGCTCAAAACAGAGAGGCTCAGCCCCCCCACCTTACTCGGCATGTATTTATGTAACAGTGGGAATAAATGACAGGATTCCCGGAGCCAGAACTGTAGTTTTAACTGCCACTTCCTGACGGTTTGAAGGCAGAGAATAACAGAGTGAGGAGGTGTGGAATGTCAGCTATGCACGCATGTAAAGCAGCTCCATGTTTCAAACGCTATATAATGACAGATGCTGCGCCCTGCGGTGCTGCTGAGGGGGCCCGGCAGCCAACTTTCAGGCATGCTGCCAACACCTTGGTAGACTACATTATCTTTTGGGAAAACAAAGAAATGCCTGGAGATTCCTGGATGTTTGCAAAAAGATTTTATTGTGGTATATTCTTTATCTTTTGGGTACAGAGTTCTGTAGACTTGTCAGAAGATTGATGAAGGCAAAGGAGCTGGTAGAGGACCTCTACCGGATCAGAACCCCCCGTTAGATTTTTATCTTTCTTGCAACATACGAGCCCAATACCTGTTTACAACCATGCTATTAACAGCACATCTGTCTACTACAGCTGTTAGTGAATCAGCAGTTTGTAACCTGCTTTGAAAGTATTTTTTCTACATTCATGCTTACCGCAGTTCTTTTGGCATTTTGTGTCATTTCTTTATTAGAAGCAAGAACGTTTAAGAAAGGTATTGGCAGATATTTTTCTCAAAACAAAGAAAGTATTACCTGCAAAAGCATTCCAGGACATTTTTCAGTATATTTTATCCTGTATTCTCAAGCACTTGATGCAGACGTGTGAGGCAACAAAACAAGAAAAAACTGTGTGCAGAAATAGGAAAGAAAACAAATATACAAGAACAAATTTGTAAGCAATAAGATATTTATTTAAAAGGCACTTGTGGTCATCTGAATATATATATATATATATATATATATCCAAAATATTGAAAATTTTGGTCAGTGGAGTAAAAAAAATGCTTGAACACCATTCCAGCTTTTGAGAGTCCCATTTGTTTTAGTCCGTTTAACTGTAAAAGTAGATTTAGTTAAATTCAGTCAGTAACACGGATAATGATGAAAAACAGAGGTGAACTCAGCCAATTAAGCAATTAAATTGTTTTTTTTTTTTGCACCTGAATGTCAGAGTTACCGCCTCTGCCTTAATGTTGGACCATAAGATTGTATAAATAAAAAAGCTAAAAAAAAAAAATCATATAGCAGTAAAAAAACAAACAAAAAAAAAACGAGAAAAGATAATACCTGACCATAGCATCAAGTTTTTGTTCATTTTCCAGTAACAAAGCAGAAAAATACACAAACCATATAAACAGTTTTAGCAC